ACAACACACACAGCGCCCACGTTACAGCCTGGTCTCACCTGTGTCACAAGTCACTAGAGTCGCCACGCCCCCTACCCGACTCCTTTTATATCCGCTGTCTGCCCGAAAACCACACCCCTTCGTGTCCCTCCCCCGACTCCTCCCATCTTTATAAACAGACCCCCGCCCTGTCTCCTGCCATCTGAGCTGTCTTCCCGAAAACCACACCCCGCCCTGTCTCCTCCCATCTCCATAAACTTCAAGAAAGCCACACCCCGCCCTGTCTCCTCCCATCCCCGCCAACTTCCCGAAAGCCACACCCTGCGCTGTCTCCTCCCATCTCCGCCAACTTCCCGAAAACCACACCCCGCCCTGTCTCCTCCCATCTCCGGCTTTCTATCACGTGGTGGAATGTGTGACTAGTGACGCGCTTTGTCACAAGCTTTATTAGAACTCCTGATTGGAGGAGGGTTCGGCTTACAGTGTAGGTGGTGCCGCCCACAGGGCGGGGGCCGAGGCTGAGTTGCTCTGCACATGCGCAATGAGAACGGCGTCTTAGACATCGAGTGCGAGGGGGCGGGGCTTGTAGAGCATCTTCTGCACATGACTGCTGTCTGTTTTATCCAGCAGGAGGATCCACAACATCCAGAGGAGATGGAGGATGGGCATAACACTACAGGTGAGGACAAAGGACCGCCCACATAAATCGGGGGAGGGGCCAGAGCTACCACCTGACTGCTTATACGCTGATCTCCCACACAGAGCATTACTTCCTGTCATGTGACCATACACAGCCTGAACATCTCCCACACAGAGCACTACTTCCTGTCATGTGGCCATCCAGAGCCTGCACAACCCCCATGAAAAGCGATACTTCCTGTCATGTGACCTTCCAGAGTCTGTTTTCTATCAAAGTTTGTGACTGCGTGGAATGTGTGACCGGTCACGTGGTCACACATTTTAACCTAACCCCACCCAGTTTTTCGGCAGTGGAATGTGTGACCCCCCCAATAGGTGAAGCTCTCTCGGCTGTTACCGGGCAGATCGGCATGGCAGACGGTATGTGCAGGAGAACCGATCTGCCCGGTAACAGCCGAGAGAGCTTCACCTATTGGGGGGGTCACACATTCCAACGTAGTCACAAACTTTGATAGAACACCTGAACATCCCTTACACAGCGCACTACTTCCTGTCATGTGACATAGGGGGGATGTCCTCTATAGATGGAGAGGAGTGAGTATAGGGCGGGATGCTCACTATACATGGAGGGGAGTGCAGGGGCAGGTCCCTGCTACAGATGGAGGGGAGTATAGGGGGTCCCCCCACTACAGATGGAGGGGAGCATAGGGGGTCCCTCCACCACAGATGAAGGGGAGTATAGGGGGTCCCCCCACCACAGATGGAGGGGAGTTTAGGGGGTCCCCCCACTACAGATGGAGGGGAGTATAGGGGGTCCCCCCCACCACAGATGGAGGGGAGTATAGGGGGTCCCCCCACTACAGATGGAGGGGAGTTTAGGGGGTCCCCCCACCA